TCCAAAATTGTTTTGGATAAGCTTTGTGAAGAGAACTTATTCGCTTTCCGCAGGCTTTACTATACTACAACTTTGATATGCGTTTAATACGATTAACGGTACATCTATTTTGACAAAAGACTTTCCTATTCTGGTCTGATCTTGACTTATTATATCTGTTTCTACTATGGTTAAAAGCCTGTCTCGCAATTTCGCAGTTGTTGTCAAACCACTCATTATGCTTCGATTTGTGGAACATGATAGTACTAACATTGTTTACCTTAACTTTTCTCCCAAAACAAGACATAGATATATCGAACAATATTCTAGTAACCATTCAAGCAACACATAATCAATTACACTAGCTCCTTCAGAGGAGGTAAACGTAAATTTACCATGACCGTTATCCAAACCAAGACGGCCATTAGCAATTAGAACATTTTGCGATTTTGTTACAATAAACGTTCATGATATCCTGTGTGCATACAGTCGTCGACAAAATCTCAACTCTCAAGTAAAATCGTTTACTTTTATTGACGTTGAAACTCGCCACAGTGGGAGAGCTAAACATTTGTTGTCAAAAGACATACGATAGAAAAAATACGTTAAAAAATGATTTATTATTTGTCAAAAATTATGCGTAATTTAACAACCAGTTTATTTTGGAGGGGTATTTGTGACTTTACCTTTCACACAAGAGTATATCGCTGTCTTTTCAAGGGTCAACGTTACTATTCATGTCAGGAAACACAAAACAGAGAATACGTGAGAATGTTAAAACTTACACATATAGTTTGAAACAATGAAACACGTTCAGTTTTAGGAATGACTATCTGAATGAATGACTGAATGAATGAATGTAAGTTGAGAATACAGAGTGGTTGCAAAACACTGACTGAAATCAGATCATATTGTATCACATATACGTCATATACCCATTATATTTGTTCTTGTTCATTGTAATAAATTCAACATAGTATAATTCCATGCGTTGCTATGAATTTGATTTTAAAAATAATGTATCTCACCATTTCTTGCAAAGTGGGAAAATATTTTAGATGTCCCACGTTCTTTCATGTATAGATAAAATTGTAATTAACTAATTTCTTGTAAATAATGCGAGGCTCAATATATCGGTGAAACCCAAAATGCGTTGCGTACTCGTTTTAGCGGCCATCGTTTCGATATACTTCATAAGAAAGGCAGACTGATCGCGAATCATTTCAAACTACCCATGCCCATCGAAAAAGTTTCTTTATTGCCAAATGTTAAACCCAAAACCAAGATATATTAAATATTCAACATGACAATCAAATCATACCCTTTGTTACAACCTACAATACCACAGACAAAAATGCTTCTCTGATTGTCAAACGATATTACTACGAACTTTAAGATTGAATTGGACCCCATTCCACCAACTCTCTGAAACAAATGCATTATGTGTGTGAGATATTTTGTATTATTGGTAGAATAATTCCAGAATTTACATTGTTGTAATTTCTCTTTGCACGCAGCGAAGTACATTTTAGTACACTTTTAATTTTATCTTATTACTCAAATTCATAATTGATGTACAAGAAGCATGTTTCTATAACACCAAATCACAAAATCTTTGACGAAACCTGTTCTCGAAGTGTCCATTTAAAAGACGGGCGTATCTCACAGATCATGAACCTCTAGAAAAATGTGACGTGCATTATTTGACAAACACAATTGACTTAGTGTCGGTATTGCAAGCATGATTGAAATAGACAATAACCATATTGGTGTTAGATGGAGCATTTTCACATTCTGGCCTTTCGAGAGTTAATCATACACATTATAATTATCTACTGTTGCTTAGACCCATTTCACTTGAATTTTCACCCCAGCCCGCTAGAGCTAGGTCCGGCTGTGTAGAAATATTAAAAACGTTTGAAGTAGGTAAGGCTATTATGGCTCATTTATTACATTGCACATAGAAATTTAAACTGAATTGTGTAATTAAAGAGGTCAGGTGGTGTATCTATTATCTTTAGATGTCTTTACAAGTTGATAAAACCACTAATAAGATTTAGTCACATTATGAGTAACGCACCATCAACTAATAAAAAAAAACAATGGAGCCATCATGTGTTAATGAATATGGAAATGAATGTACCATCACATTATAATTGATATTTATATTTCTATTGTAACATGTGAAAATTCAACTGTTGCCATAGCATTTTATAATTGCTTTTGTGGGTTATGAAAATGTACTGTCAATTATATTTATTTCAGACGGACTCTGGAACGTGTTGGAGGAACATCATCTAAACAACTAAGGTAAGTTACAGTTAATGATATTTAACTTAACGTTATCAGGGTTCATTGGTCGCAGTTCAAATTATTTTATCGCATACTTTAAACTAGATATGTGTTCATATTATTTAGTACATATTGTCAAATGATGATCCAAAACATGGTTCGATCATTCATAATAGGGCTTCGGATGAATAGGTTTTCAGATTTTCGGTTATTTTTAAAGATATCAATGCCATTAGTGTTGTTGTACCGACATAATTTTTCTCTTTGTGCTCAAGATTGCTTGAAGTTTCCTGTCTTCATCAAAACAAATCGGTTCCATTTCATTTTGTTATTTATGAGTCGATTCGATTTGAAGGTTATCTTGTGATCGCAAGTTAGAGAATTGACTGACTTCTTTCTAATCACATGTTTAACCTTTACACGAAATGTGTCTTGGACACGTAGTACCGTCCGATGATAACGTGATAATAACGTATATTATCATGTTTGTCTTAATATTGATATCAAGTAAGCTCAGAGGATGTACACGGTTCAACGTATGAACTTTCAGTAAAGGTAAACTAACAGCGATCGCAGGACTTGATTTGAAATAGCCTGTGGATTCTAGGTTAACTGTACAATGGCACCATTTAATACCATTAAACATGGAAAACTTGGGAATCCCCCAGGGCAGTTGCATATAGTAGTATGGTATACAATTTTATTAGAATTGGATTACAATTTCGTATCTTTTTTGTTTTCTGATATATTTAGTCTACATTGTAATCTAGATAGTTTTCTACCAAAGAACCTTCCCTATGATGTCATTTTTAACCAATAGCAGCGAGTCATGTAAAACTTGTTTCTTGATAAAATAAAGATTTGTGAGATAGTCATACTCAAGGAAGCTGTCATATTGTTCTTCTTAGGGTTTGGCTATCCCACAATTCCCTTTTTTTTTTATCAAGAAACAGGTTTTACATGACACGCGTTGTTTGTTTAAAATAATACATCTGGGAAGCCAAAAATTTGTAAAATTATCAAGGAGAATAAAACTATCAGAAAACGAAAAACATACGAATTTCTAATCAAATTTTAATTAGATTGTATGTTATTTGGTATCAGTGGAGAATTGCAGCAGCATTGTTAACGATTCGCTTTGTTTGTGAGCAAGATGTAACATCCAAACACAGATACTATAAGATTGAGATTTACTTTTATCACACAACAGTTCTGTTCTCGGGAACTTAAAAGGTTGATGAAAAATATGAGTTTATTGATAGTTGTGTGATACATAGAATCGTTCACTCATGCTTATTGTAAGGCTCGGGAAATATTAAATCTGGCAACTCATATTATATATTATGTGGTTTTGGATAGGCCTTAATATCAGATTGAAAGACTTAAGTCATTTAATAGATCAAAGTAAATTGAAATGATTAAAGGGGCATTTCGCTTTTTTGTAAAACATTTTCATTATCAAAAACGTCGTAAATTATACCTGAAAGAAATCTTAAGTACATGTATGCTATTTATATCTATGTATTTACTGGATTAAACTGAATTTGTTTTAAAAGGGTTGATTAAAAACGGACAGTACTAAATGTTAATTAAGCAGTTTGATCTAGTTTTTTATAATACGAAGGAAACATATTTCTCTACAATTAAGCGTTTATTTTACTTAAACCCGTACAGTAGTTTACTAACATCTTCCAAAAAGCATAACGAACGACTGGATTAACTGCTAGATTTTTAGTTAAAACTGTCAGATACGTTAAGGGCCACATTTCTCTAGATTTTGGAGTATAGTTTTCACAAATTTGATTAAAAAATAATAATTTCGACCTACAAAAAGAGCGGAATGTCCTCTTAAAAATTCACGTTATTTTCGAATATAAATAAAATCAAAACGTAGTCAATGTTCGATATAGAAATATTTCTATTCACTTCACAATGGCTGCATTTAACACTATTTTAACCGCAATAGTTTATTGTAACGTTGGACTATAGGAAGTGCTCTTCTCTTACACAATGAGCGAAAACATGAATTTGGTTTTGGGAACGTATTTATCATGGCTTAAAAAGTAACACACTGTAAACATGCATTAATTTTTTTTATTCTATTGCATTATAGTAGCCACTTCGGTAAACTTAAAGGGATTGTAAGGTGTTTTCCAAAATTGTTATGTGTATCGGGGATAGCAATAATTTGCACCATTCACATTTTCAATCATAATTCTATGGCTATGCAATTCCACTAAAAGTAAGTGTTTGGTGACATCACTAATCGCGAAGGGCCTTATAGCTTATTTCGATAAAGCATATTTTGCGATTAGTGACATCGTCAAACACATAATTTAAGTAAAATTGACGTCTGATTGAAAAATGGAATGGTGCAAATTGATGCTATCAGTGTACCGATACACATAACAATTTTAGAAAACACCTTACAATCCCTTCAAGTTTACCGAAGTGGCTACTATAATGCAATAGAATAAAAAAATTTAATGCATGTTTACGGTGTGTTACTTTTTAAGTTTCATTCATTGTACATAGCACGTCAATGCCTTTGTTCAACCCCATTCACGAATAGGATAGTTTTACATAAATTCCCATCATTTTATGATATTTGATGGAGTCATAACAAACTTAAATTCTTCTCTATTACAGGTTGATATCAGTGTATTCAGTTCAACTTGTATGAATCTGACAGTACTACTATGGAGAATATAAATGGTCAAGTTAATAATATGAATGGATATAATGAGAAAGGTCATATTTTGGTAACAGGTGGTGCTGGATATATTGGTTCCACGTTGGTGCCAATGCTGTTGTCCTCTGGTTATGAAGTCACTGTATTTGAGAAGTTCTTATGGGGAATATCACCATTACTGCCAGTAGCAGCACATCCAAAATTACACATAGTTCGAGGTGACATCTGTAATAAAGAAGAACTTGCCCCTATGATGAAAGGAAAGTTCGCGATCATTCATTTAGCAGCCATTGTTGGTTACCCTGCCTGTGATAAAGACGGAGACAAGGCTACAAATACTAACGTTGATGGTACAAATAACATTATACAACTCTTATCTCCCGACCAGAGAATCATCTATGCAAGTACTGGTTCGTGTTATGGTGCTGTTGATGGACTATGTACAGAAAAGACGCAGATCAGTCCGTTATCGTTGTATGGAAAGAGTAAAGCTGGTGGAGAGAAACTTGTACTGGAAGCTGGTGGTGTAGCACTCAGATTAGCCACTGTCTTTGGTGTGTCTCCTCGTTTCCGCCTGGATCTTCTTGTTAACGATCTCACATACAAGGCCTTAACCATTAGAAGTTTTGATTTATATGAAGGTCATTTTAGAAGAACATTCTTGCACGTTAAAGACGCTGCAAAAGCCTTTATATTTGCCATGGAGAATTATAAATTGATGAAAGGGGAAGCTTTTAATGTTGGGGACGAAAACATGAACTTCACGAAAGAACAAGTGGCTCGAATTATTCAGGCCAAAGTTCCTGAATGTGAAATTTATATTTCGACTACAGGCGAAGATAAAGACAAGCGTGATTATGAGGTATGCTATGACAAAATTCGAAAACTGGGCTTCAGATCTACGATATCTGTTGAAGACGGTGTGACAGAATGCATCAAAATACTCCCATTTTTACAAGAGAGTGAACTGAAAAAGTGTAAAAACATTTAAAGTGCGCTCAATATTAAATTTTTAGCTTAGTTTCATCTAAAAATTGGGACATTGTGCTTCAATTGATTTTATAAAGTAGAGGCTGGCTGTTTTTGCCCGTGGGCCATTGTGGATTATACTTTGGGTTTCATATTAAGGTAATAGCTACCCGTATTTACTGGAATTCTATAACTTAGCTTCATCTATAACTTAGGACATTTTTCTTCGAGTGATGTTATAAAATAGAGGTTTTTTTTATTTTTTTTGCCGGTAGCTCATTGAAGTTTAAACTTTGGCTTTCATATTAATGTCTACATAATAACACTTATACGAGGTTTGTGCCCCATCTCACCATCGGCAACCATCACAGTACTTATTTTACGTGAGCTCAACGAATATATTTGATAATAATAAAGGCTACTACATCACCTATGTAAACGGATCACATAAAGACATATTTTTAAGAAAACAGGAAATATATAATCACTTTTTATATATAGTCATAACTTTAACCAGGGTATCCTGTAATAATTTATACGTATACGTATGCGATGTTGCGAAATACTACCATAAATCATGGCGAAAGTCACGTTGAACAAGGGATTGAAAAAATATGTTGATACACTTTTGACTGTAATGTTAGATCAATCTAATTTATATGTATTTTGTTTTTGTAGCCATGGTCGGCGCTTTCTTGCTTGAATACGCCTCCAATACTTTCGAATTTTATTTTGAAGACATACAGTAGTTTCTTTCTGAATGTCATACACAAAGCTTTGATTGAATTTTATTGGATGTTCCGAACTGACAGTGTTAAATTTGATTGGTTATAGTAAACGTCATCAGGTGAAGTCAAAAACTCCAGTCGTAAGACCTTACTGTGAAGTGGCTATGCTAAAAATAATATATGACAAAAAAAACTAAAAAAAACACTAAAGTTTGGTCTAATTTTAATTAGACTGTTTCTCTGAATGAATAAACTTGCCTTGGCCGCTATATAGTGTTGTGAGACAGAAAGTTAAAAATGATACATTTACAGTAAACATATGATATGCTATTTGTAAATGGATCATTTTCAGCTTTTCATGCATATCTTTTCATCCAACCAATTTCTTTTCAAATTTACGCTCAACAGCTGTTAATAATCAATGTGCGAATTATACATTCTTTTAAAATTGTTAACATTTTAAATTGCTGTAAATATAAAATAATGTTATTACTAACTTTATTACTTATTGAAGAGAATTTATTTTTTGTTTTTCAAATAAATATAGTTTCAAACTAAGTTATTTATTATTTTTGTGAAACCAACTGAGTGAGTTTGTCGTGGTGATAAAAAAAAATTTCAAGAGAGAATCAGTAATATCATAAGGAAGGCAGGGCTGTATTGGACTTTTTTACTAGCGGCCATGTCTGTTTGAGAAGCCTTTGAACTGGAAAACTGTCTATACATGTATACGTCTAGGGAAATAAGAACAATTACCGAAATATCCTTTTACCAACAAGATACCAAATGATGTCGTAAAGAGTCTTTTTTTGCAAACGTCAGGCTACACATACAAGATGTTCATATGTCATCATCTTATATGTTTCTTTAACTGGTTACAGATCAGCTGTACAATATTTCAAAGAGAATGTAAAAAGGAGTCGACAACAATACCTGCGAACATTTTATGTAATAAATATATCATTCAAATATTTTATACATTACACGTATTTCATAACAACCAACTATATTCCATATTACTTCAAGGGAATGTACAGCTCATTCTGTGTCGTGAAAACCTAGCTCTCCAGGAGTAGGGGGCTACAAGAAAAACGCCCTTCGTGATATCTAAATACGATTATTGTGTCACCGAAAGGAAATACAGGCATTTATAGGGTAGTGACATAAAAATGTATATTATAAAGGGCAGAGGTGCATTCTTTTATTATAATATACTTTTATACTCCAACGTTAATTATTGCACTCGATTATAAATAGTGGTAATACTCCGTATTTGTATTCTCTTCTATAACATATGCTTGGACTGAAACCGATGAAGTTTTAAAATCGTGATGGCAAATAGCATGTAATTAAAGAATAGAAAGAGGAATAAAATCTTAAAAATAACTAATTAAATAACAATAATCATGCTTCTCGCTCATTCCGTTAAAATATTTAAAAATTAAATATCTACAAACTGGAAAAAAAGAAGGAACATTCCAGTTAAACTTTTTTATGCTGAAATAAAGAAAGGCATTCAAATGAAAATATTGTGAGTATTTAAGAATGGTTCTGTAGAATAAGCAAACCTCAAATCAAACTTACTGTTTTCAAATGTCTAAATTTTATGATATTTATCTACTTGATGGTCTGTTTCTTAAATAGTAGTATTATTCAAAATCAACTTGTCGGTCTACAAACAACTTACTGCCTTCCTAACCTACTGAAGTTTGAAAAAAAATATTATGCAGCCTGAAATAGGTCAGTTGTCTGTAGATCGCACAGCATGAAATATGTAAATCATGTCATAACATGTCCATACTTATGTGTTTCTATATCGCTCCACAATAATAAATTTATGTATTGAGCACTATTTTAACCATGGTATTTCTATATATCTGTAGGTCTACATTTATGTATTGAGTACTATTTCAACAGGGAAATTATGTTGTTACTTACTAGCTTATTATATAAGTATCAAAATTGCACTATGCGGACTTGATCTTCTTGAGAAACCAGTAAGCTATTAAACCTGTGAGCAATACACCTGAAACACCAACCATATAAGGAGAAACAGCTTTCAGATCTTCCCAAACCAATGTCAATCTCATGTTGGCTACCTCTTTCTGAATTAGTCGGTACGTTGATCTACGGTGTAGTTGCTGATAGTAACGGTCAATATATGGACATTTATAATTGGGAAAATACCGCGACTCTAAACCCAATAATACCAGGCGATTCAGAAGAACAGAGAAGGTGATATCAGCAGCAGTAAACTGTGGACCAAACAACCAAATATCAGGATTAGTATACGTTTCGGCTGAAAAATATGATAGATACAATATCTTGACTTGTCAACAAAAAACTTAACTTGGGTGAAGTCAAAATTTCAAAATCGACTCGAGATTGACCAATATAGTATCTACAACCTTAAAATAATCTTTAGTAAGTCAACAAGAAGTATGTCTCTGGTTGAATATCAAGTTATGGATAGCAATGGTCAAAATCAGTGAGATCTAATCATATATCACGTTTAGAAGGCACAATCCTAACCTTAACTGATACTATGGATAAGAGAATAAATACCATACGAAACTAAGTACATGTACATGCATGGTTGTAACATGGAAATAATACAAAAAATGGAAATAATACGAAACATTCAAATAATGCGAAACCATGTATATTTCTTACATGGAAATAACCGATGAAGTTTCGGAGGGATTACAGATTGTGACCTATAACTTACATTCATGTAAAGATTGAAGCATGCCCTCCATTTCCTCTAGAATGATCTCTAACTGTTCAAGTTGACCTTTGACCTTCTCTTCATCAGTAATAACATCATATTTCTGTGCTGCTGTTTGACTTTTCGCTAAATAACCATCTCGAAGATTAGGATGCCTTGTAGCTTTATGAGTTAAGTACCTCAATCTTCTGGCAAAGTTTTCTATAAGATCATTTAAAGCATTTTTTACATTGAGATAAAGCTTGGTGCAGATCTCTGGTCATGTTTGCAAGCCTCCTACAACGTGATAGTTTGGTATAAGGCCTCCAATTACTGAGTGCTTTAACCGTTTTTTCTTCTTCTGGGATGTCGCCTTTAATGAATGTTAAAGTACATAATTATGTACATTAGTGGATAAATATATTGCACTCTATTTGGGGTATTTAACTTTGTATATATTTCACTAAATTTCATACTAAAAGGATTTCAAGGATGTTTACAATCCTTTGTATTGCACATCAGGGGTTCTTTAAGCTTACTATATATAAATTCAGGAGTACTTTACTAGATTATGATGCGACATCATTTATATAATAATATGGTCATTAAGTTTTTCTGGTACAGGAATTTCTTACAGCGGAAGGCAAATCAAAAGCCACAAATGTCACCTATAAAATCCCTGGGGGATAATATCCTCAGGTTGAAAGCCACTAATATAAATACAAATTCAGGTGGAAAGTCAAATCAACACACCTCTCATGCTACGCTGAACAGCAAATGGAATTCTGCAACCAACATCTGACAAGTGGGGATGGAATATTATACCATATGTTATGACATCTACGGGAATATTATCTAATTGTCCCCGTACCGCAGCTACTTTCTGTCCTAAGCTACTAGTTTGTGATGGCACTAAACAGGGACCTACAACAAAATGAGTTTGATATGTCGATATATGCATTAAATAAAGACACGAATAAAAAGAAATGCGGATATATAAAAAAAACCTTTTCTCGGATTTTGTGTCAACTTTTGTGTTAAATATGTCTGTAAAAGCAATGTTAAATAGAATCAATGAAAAGTCCTCAAATTAGGCTCTAAATCCAAGTATCTGGTATCAAGTATTCAAATTAATGGTAAGTATATTGTTTATATTTCAATTAATGGTAAGTATATTGTTTATATTTCAATTAATGGTAAGTATATTGTTGTTTATATTCCAATTAATGGTAAGTATATTGTTTATATTCCAATTAATGGTAAGTATATTGTTTATATTCCAATTAATGGTACGAATATTGTTTATACTTCAATTAATGGTAAGTATATTGTTTATATTTCAATTAATGGTAAGTATATGGTGAATTTCCAATAACTGATAAGTATATGGTAATATTCCAACTAATGGTAAGAATAGGGAAACATTTTCAATATTTGCAAAGGGTAATCTTTCAATCAATTAATGGTAAGAATGAGGAATTTTTTCAAATGAATGAATACTGTATGGGTAATATTAAGGTACATTTTTAGTGTATTGAAAATTCTGATAAATACAATCAATAATGTACGCAAATGTTAGTAAGACTATAGGTAATATGTCCAATTTAATGGGAGGTCATCTGTATCATATGGTAGGAAATGAAAATGAAATGAATGGAGTTTTACGTCCTACTCTTCTGCACCTTGTGGGCTAATAAAGACGGGAAACGCCATGCAGGGTGCCATGAGCCTGCTTCGATTTCCAACTGTCGAGGGATCTTTAACGTGCACAGCCTGTAGCACACGGGGCCTCGGTTTATTGTCCCATCCGAACGACTAGACGCTTTTTCCATGTCAACCCCTCTTACCTGCATCACTGACAGGGGGAAACCGGGTTGAAAAATCCAAAGGTATTATCTCGACCTATGCCGGGATTGAACCCTGGACCCTCAGGTTAGCGAGCAAGCGTCTAACTCACTGAGCCACCGCGGCTCCCTATCATATGGTAGGGATGAGATAAAAATTAATTATAATGCCTCAATCACCGGTACCAATATACTTTATTTCATTAGATTAATTAATTATCATGATTAATGTACCATTTGACCATTAAAGCCATACCTTGAACTTACAAAATAGGAGATCAATTCCATTATTATTCACTTTTAAGAGCATGCCATCAAGAAACATTCAAAGGTGTAATGGCAAGATTTGTCTAAATAGCTTTATATATAATTTCAAAACTCACCATCATCAAAATGTTCATCTACATAATCAACGATCTTCTCAGGATTACACAAAACATTTTGATCATGGATAAATACTGGGACATGATCACCACTTGGGTTTAGCTTCACATACCACGGTTCCATATGTTGACCATGGAATAAACTCACTAACTTTGGCTTGAATTTGACATCTTTTTCATACAATGCTAATAGAACCTACAACATACACAGCATCTGAGAAATTTCATTTCAAATACTATCTCTGCTAATGTCAAGATCAAACCCCAGACATTTAAGTTGGTCTATTAATAACTAGCTAGCTTGGCCACTCTGTTTAGGGTGTCATACTGAAGAACAAACCATGAAGTATAAGTCAGCTTGCACAACCAGTTTTGAGAAAGGGTCTGATGCTCTATATCTAAATATACTAGTTCATAGCTTGTAGAGTTTAACAACATTCATAAATCTTTTTCCCAGCATGTTTGAGAAAAGGTTAAAGGGACATGGGCACAATTTTTTTTGACCAATCATACTTAAGTTTCAGAAACGGGAATTTTTTAGCTAAGCCAAACAGTAATACAATTCACAGAAATGTGAGCCTTCAAATCCATTGATGTTCTTGAAAAATCTTCTTTTTAAGATACTCTGTGATATATAGAAATTACATATATAGAAATAGTGAGTAAAATTTCTAGTTTGAATTATTTTTAAGGAAATTTGCGATTTTTTAACATTTTTAGTACTTCTGAAGGCTTTTACACATATTCAACACTAAAATCAATCCTCCAAAATGGCACACCTGTCAATTTAAAACTTCACCCAAATCAATTTATTTTCTAGAAACACACTCCTCATATAAATAAATAAATATATTGACAGTCATCAAAAAATTAATTTAAAAGCAAAGCATATTCAAAGTTCAGTTTTTGATAATATAAAATTTCTAATAATGAATTAAACTTATTATAAGATTCGGTGACTAAAACAATGAAATCTTGATAAATTTGTCACACCTTTAATTAATTTTTCTCAAGGACTGAGATTCGGCACAGAAACAAATGATGCGTGATTGTTACTATAAATAGTATCGAAGTCACAGATTGTGCTGAATAAGGAATTATACTGAAATGGATTGCAGACGACATTTCGGGGAGTAAATAAGAACAGCATAGATATGGCCTATTTGCAAAAATTAACGATCGAAATACGACACTTCTCTTTGTAAGAAAATAATAACAACTTATTTTTTAAAATATCCATTTTCGTAACAAATACCTCGTCTTTTCGTCTATAGACAAGATGTGCGTTTTTACAGCGACAAATTTTTCAGATATACTCGAGTGTCAAATTTATTTAAGAATACATTTGAGGTTAAATAAAGGCTACTACTGTAGTATTTTTTTTTGTACTAGTATTAAAATTCTAATTAAAGAATCAAACTTATTTTTACAACACTACTGTATAACTTAAAAATACTTAATTAATAGCAAGACTATGAAATTAATTTATAAAGCCTTAAAACAAGTGCATGTTCATTAAATGGGGCGTGTTTTTTTTATTATTAATCATTACATAATTTTTTAATCAAAATTCACAAAAATATACTTAAAGGGATATTTGGTTTTTTTGTCAAATGTTTTCATTATCAAAAATATTAAAGAACGAACTGAAAAAACCTTACGCAATGTTTTAAATACTTGTGGCATTTAAAATTATGGCCAGATTCTTTTACTTTCTGATACGTTAAAAGGCACATTTCTCTAGGTACCGGGTATATAGTTTTCACAAATTTGAGCAAAAGAAATTTTCAATCTAAAAAAAAGTGGAATGTCCCTTTAAGGTAATGATGCATGGAAATTATGTGCCAATTCAATGCAACAAAAATCTAATTCAGGGTATGAGTTATATATGTAGAGGCAGTTAGCCAACTGGAGGAAAGTGCAATTTGACCTGTTCTAGAAAAGAAAAATTAACATCATTTGAAATTATTTACCTTTTGAGAAGAAAAAGATGTTGGAAAATAATAAAGAGAACACCTTCCAGGTTCATTGGCATCACTTGTACCTTCTTGGCTTTCACCCAATTTAAACATTTCCCTTACTCTCAGAGCTCTAGGCTACGTTAAAAACACCCTTGTTGATGTCCACTTGTAGAAGTGAAGACTAGAACATCATTTTCAATTTGACATAATATTCTGAAAAATGCAAATGTTATATTTTACATATAAAATATTACAAAAGATTGGTAGCAACAGAATAAGGGGATGAATTCCCCCTACTTTCCCCTACAGAATTTTAAAGAAAAAAAAATGTATGCCTGGTTATTGAATGAATGATATATCTTATGACACATAAGCATATAATTAAAGTTTTTCATTCCAATTAAAGAAATTCTAATCATTAGATAACCTGATTCTATGTCGATTCTGTGAAAATTCCTGGCTTTTCTGATGTGCATGAAACAACCTTGGGAAGGGACCAGTCATCAATGCCTGCTATATATAAAAAAAATGTGTTCAGAATAGTTCTAAATAATTTACGTTTGTTACATCTCTACTGCTACAACCTATAACTCAATTTTATTTATTTGATGACGCTTTTCAAAGCATTAATTCAAGGTTTATAATCATTTATGAAATAAAATACTCAGTCAAAATGAGACCTCCATTCACCGTGTGTCTACTTTCGATTTAGCAAATAAAATGGAGTCGAAAGTTATGATAAACCAGGGGGCTGAAGGAAAACTCTACACTGGCTCATTTTACAGTAAACCATGCATTACAAAAGAAAGATTTGTCAAGTCCTACAGACATCCGTCGTTAGATAAGTCTTTGACAACCCAAAGAATGAAGGCTGAAGCCCGTGCACTGTTACGTTGCAAGATGAGTGGTGAGTAGGGAAAAGATGGGCTTATTAAGCCTTCGATCTTTGACTTTGATCGATAAGAACTTAATCTCAATTTAGTATATAGCGATTTAATATCGGAAATCATTGATATATATAATAGCACTAAGCATTTATTTAACTAGTCTCTCAATGATTTTAGCATACATAGTTATCAATACCCCACCTGTTTCTTTGTGCTTGAACTGAAGTGTTCTGCATAGTGCATTGCACACCTTGTTTTGTTAACAAGAATCTTCCAAATTTCTTATAAAAGATGAAAGATCATAGCTTTGAATGCCAAGTTGACATTATTTCATCAAATCATATCCCACCTTTTATGATATCACTCTTCGTTTAAACTATTTCAATGGATATTTTCAGGAATAGAATGTCCATGCTTGTATATGGTAGATATGGAAAACAGATGTATTATCATTGAAAAGATAGAGAATTCTGTCACTGTTCGGGAATATATTTTTCAGTTACAACACCAACATAACAGTGAAAAATTAGTTAAATTGGCCAAAAACATTGGACAACTGCTGAACAAGTTACATAGTAATAATATAATACATGGAGACCTTACGACATCTAATATGCTCTTAAAGAATACTGAGAATGGCTTTGCTGAAATCGTTCTTATAGATTTTGGTTTGAGTTATTTTGATAGTTTAGCTGAAGATAAGGGTGTAGATTTGTATGTTTTAGAAAGAGCCTTTCTTAGCACCCATCCCAATAGTGAGGAGATATTTCAGGTCATATTAGATTCTTACAGTCAGTCTAGTAAAGGTGAGGTAAATGAAGTTATTAAAAAACTCGAGGAAGTGAGAATGAGAGGTAGAAAACGAACAATGGTGGGATAAGGGTAATATTAACCATTGTGAATTCCTTACATACAGATGACAGAGTGAAAAGATGTGTACGCCAAACAAAACTGTTCATCAGAAGACAATGTCCATAAGCTAGCAAGAAATACATATGAAACAATATGCCTGACCTAGTGACCAGGATCGTATCACAAACATAAGTGACTGCTCCATGTAAGGGGTGTGGCTTAAGCTGAACTACTATTTGTTCTTATGTTAGCAAAGTAAAACCATTGTAGCGTCAGTTTGCATCTAAAGAATGTTTTCAAAAAAAAAATAACTTCTACTATTGGTCTATTTTGTAATTTTGCTGATTCCTGTCTGTTTATACTTGAATGTAAATATGCAGAAATTTCCATTGAATCATCCTTTGACAGAAAGACAAAAGTGCTTCATATTACACAACTTGGTGAGGCAATCAACCACAACTTAAGACAATTTGATAAAAATTTAATAAAGTTTACATGCTCCATTATATTATATGCAGTTTTACTAATCATATTAATAAAGATAAGCCATCAAATAATGATGAATTTTGAAATTTTTTTTGATGGTTTCATTATTGTCCTTTTCATTTCATTGGTCATCCGGAGCAGAAAAATAAGATGTAAAACTACATTTCATATCAGTGAAAGTATTTTTTAAACTCATTCTATTTTTATACTTTCACTTTTTCCAAAGCTTGTTGAAAATCTTTTATAAGGTCATCTACATCTTCCAATCCAATACTAAAAGAAAGAAAAGAAACGGTATAATGGTGATATGTGGGAATATACTCAATGGACTGTACCATGGAATTTCAGTGATACCACAGCCTTCCTTAGTTTAACATACCAAAATAAACAACCATTCTGATTCCATACTGCAAGATCCAGAATCTTACAGTTTTAAGTTATATTGTACTTTAGAAGTATGGAATCAAGATTATCACTGTTAAACAATCTGATACACCTTGTATATACCAAGCAATATATAAGAAGTGTAAACTAGTTTATGCAATCAGATTCTGCAGGGGATTAGTATGTTGTCGAACTTCCAAATCAATTAAAGGGATTGTTTTCATATAACTGGGACACTGATAGCATCAATTTGCACCATTCCAATTTTCAATCAGACGTCTGTAGCTCCTGCAATTCCACTGAAACTAAGTGCTTGATGACTTCTGATTGAAAATTTGAATGGTGTAAATTGATGCTATCAGTGTTCTGGATGCACATAAAAAAAGTAAGAAAACCCTTTACTATCCCTTTAATTTGTATATTTTTTTACGTTAATTGCGACTGTTTTCTTACACTCAGATTATCTTACCAGTATGCCGTATATCTGATACAACTTTTACATTGTATTTACTTGTTGGATTGAATTATGCCATGTAATTAAAAAGTAGGGTTTGTCTCCTACTCAATTTACCTGATTCTAAGAGTACCAGGGGTGAATCCACTTTCATCTATTTCTTTTTGAGAGTATAAATATGGGCCATGGGTCATGGTGTAGGGTTGTTCTATAATACTCTCCACTCCTCCCAAAGAAACAGCTAAACTAACTATATTCAGTGACTGAAACGAAATTTTGCACCGAAAACTGAAAAATCGCAGTTTATATTGGACTTGAAAGTAAAAGTGGATCTTGTACGTTGGAATCTGCTTCCATTCAGTTGATCACTATCGCTGGTTGACTCCCTTCTCCGAAATTTAAAACTTTTGTCCTGACACCGAATCTCTGGGCTGTGATAAACTATTTGTGTTTTATTATATAATATTCTTGATACCTCAACCAATGTTCTTCCACCTTGTTCTCCGCCTTTAACATCAGCTCTGAGCATCCCACCAAACGATTTCATCTGTTTCTTTGCTATATCATGTTGTGGGTGTGATGGTAAACCGGGATAAAATACTTTATCAATCTGAAATACGGCAAAATTTTGTGTGTATTAAGCATTTCGGGATGTTTAGCCACATTTTTTTTTCGACACATATTCCGTAAATTATTTCTAGTCCATTCAATATACATGCTGGAAGAATGAAGCTCGACAAGAACTTCCTTCTAAGAACCAAGCTTGTCCGGTTAGGTTAGAAATCAACTTTTGTGTTGCTCGGGCATGTCAGATTAACAATTTTATGTTGCAAAACATTAAAAACATGCCTTAGGATGTAGTTCCAAGTATTCTGCAATTCTCTTTCCATTTTGGCTGTGTTTCTCCATACGTATTGGTAGGGTTTTCAAACCCCGTATAAGTAAGCTGGCGTCATGTGGAGACTGAAAGATCAAGAATAATCTATGGTATCTTGGGCCTCAGAAAAAAATAATATGTATGAATATTCAGCATGTAAATAAATATCACTTTATTACTTTATCACTTAATATCAATGAGAATGAAGCCTCCAATTTTATCCAAATGCTCACCATGATGCCGCCCAATGTTGCTGACCATTTTTTGATAATCTTCCACTGTTGTAAAGTTCGTGTAGTTACACATCCACCAGTGAGATCACTGTGCCCTCCCATATATTTTGTACTGAAATTGAACAATTAGACCAATACAGTGGTGTAAGAGGTAACATTTGGACTACCAAGCGATATAAAATCCAGAGTTTTATTTCGATTGATTGGTTTTTGTTAATCAATTTAAATCTTGATTCGCATTTAATCAGATCAAAAACGATAATGATCAAAATGAATTCAATATCAAAATATTCATATCGTAAGAAATGGTACATGAAATCATCTATTTGTAGACCGAACGTTGCCTTATATTGTTACTCGATATGACAAACATTATCATGAATATTATACAAAATTGATTCGAAGACTGTTCGCGATAACCTTACAGTTTAGAAATTAGAGAAGGAAGAAGAAGAGGAAGTGAGGAAAGTGGTGGAGAAGGAAGATGATATGATGGGAGTAGAGAGGAATGTATTTGAACAGAGTGAAGAACATGGTAGAACAAAGTAATGTCGAGTGAGGAAATGGAAGTAAAGAGTACAAGACTAAGAAGTTAAACAGAAAAGTAAGAAGATATTGTACCATCGAGAATTTGTCAAAAGACTGAATCATTTTTAAAGGGGCGGGTGTTCTCTTATGTTAAGAGGGACCCATTGTACCTCTGTGCAACGCTTCGGACACAAGTGCACCGAAGACTTGTTATCTATCTCACCTCTTTGCAGAAGATATCATTCTATGTGAGGCGTCTAAATTTCGATTTCAACATTTTTGTAACTCTCCTCAGTGGTCTTATGAAATTGCAGAGAAAAACGTAAATCAAACGTTTACTGTTACTTTTATTTAAATTTTTGAATCGTATTTCATAAAGAGCACTTCATATAATGTTCCGGTTGTATACTCGAGCTAAGGTACAATGGATCCAGCTATTTAAAGACTAACAAACGGGTCCATTGTTCATCAAGGTTTGTCTAATGTTTATAGATTTGGCACAAATTCTCAAGAAAAGTGTATAATGTGATTTGATTCGCAGATCGTCGCGATGAATTTTAATTTTGGCTTATCAAAAGACATCGGACCCCAATAAGGATTTTTTTATCTCCCAAACTTCTATGCAATGCCGCTTATATCAGCAATCTGCAGTATATACCCATGTAACAATATCAAAGATGTACGTTTGGACTTTGTTGACATTATACAGGTACAAGATTTAAAGATAGGTATATTGTCTTAAACGTTGCCCACAAGAGTTCAAAGTGTGCGTTTGACTTGGAAATCACGTACATATCTACCTTTATCGTTAAAAATAGCGGTACATTTTATAATCTTAAATCTCGCGATGTCATTTTATCAGTAGGCCTATCCATTTATAGAATGACATTAATAATGAATTTAAAATAACAATTAGATGAAGGTTTTCCTTTTTTAACTAATCCTATGATTTCCTTTCTCAAATTAATTATTGATTTAAAGATTTTATCACGACCAGTATCGTGTAAAGGATAAGTGATCTTCCTACACTAAACTTAAATGAATTTTTAATTTCTGAAATTAAACATGATAGCCATACGCTGGTAGGATAAATCTTTCGAGATGAGATGTTCGTTGGTCTGCTTCTCTGTCTGGGGCTGAAATTTAGTCACGGGAAATTAAGTCAGTGGTTGGTCACGCAACACAGACATTTAGTCTCAGGCTTGGTAAGTTGGCCACTTTTAATCATCGTAAATTGTGAATAAATAACCATAAAAGAGTAAATCTATCGCAGTGATTTGGTCACAAGGTCACCAAAGATGCCCAATTTACTATGATAAAAACTGTGATCAAAATTCGATCTGTGGTCATACTGTGATAAATTTACCTACATTTCCAAATCTTACCAACTATGAATAGAGATATCCACACCATGAGCAATAGGCTGTTGTAAATAACAACTTCCAAAGGTCGCGTCAACCACTGTTAAAATGTCCTTTTCTTGACCTAATTTACCAAATGCTTCAAGATCTAGGATGGTCATACATGGATTACATGGTGTTTCTCCCATAAGTATCTGCAAAAAAATCCATTAAAAAGATATCAGTTGTTTCAGTTGCCAGCAAGGAAAAAAACAACAGAGCCTTAACTATGAATGCATGAAAACAAAGTGAAGTAATACCCTCCTTCGTAATATCATCTCAAGACAATCGGATTTATATAACAAATTCCACAAGATTTCGTGCTTTTACCTTGGTATTAGCTTTGATGTTTTTCCTGTATTCTGTAATGTTACATGCTGCTGGAACGATTGTTACATCTATACCATATTTCTTCTGAAACTCTCTTATTATTACCAGTGTATTAGAGTATACAGGATTCTGAACAATCTGAATTTATAAAAATCTTAACTGTAGAGCTAATGAAAGGTAACATTGCGACAACACATATAATCGGTGAACAAAATATGGACAACTCGAGTTTATTTTCAAGGTAAGCCCCTGTGAGATGCATCACTCTCACTAGAATGTTGTGAAATACAATTGAAGGAAACATCTCGCACTGGATAGCACCATTAGCATCCAGGAAGTATCCAACCCCCGGAATAGTGGCTCTGTGTTGAATAACATAAAACTTACTATATGATCTCCCGAATTAAGATATGATATTAAAACAGTTGATATGGCAGCCATACCACTGGCATATACCAGAGAACCTGCCCCGCCTTCTATAGAATTTATCAGACATTCTGCAGCATCAGTTGTACTATTACCTAATCTTGAATATACTTCACCACCCTACAAGATGGACAAAAAATATAAGACATTGCTATCTTAAAAACTAATGGGTTATTTATTCGACCTAAATTTCGCTTATCGCAAGTTGTAAAAAATTATAGTCAGGGTCGTAAATTAGTTTATTTTGGGGTTTGGGGCCACTTACATTTCTTTAAAGCTGAGAAATTACATGGTGCAAAATGCCCATTGTTTGACAATGCCGAAGGCGTGCTTTGTGTTTTGGTTTGGGTCGTTAGTTCCAACCTTAGTCTGCGTTTGAAGGAACAGTGACCTTAAATAAAGTTAAGTCGACCTAACCGTAAAGGTTATGCATTAATATTCTGGAAATATCAAGACCAAGAGGTTTTGTCAAGGACCAGCTGGTATTATCCTAGTAATATAGAGGTTTTTTTCGTTTTCTTTCAATTCAGACAACATTTGTCCAGTATAAAGTTTTATAAGAGATACTCTCTTATAGTTTCCCAACACATTGAACTGGTTTTTTCATTTTCGGTCTTATCAGAATACTTGAAGATAATTAAGGACATACCTGGGACATAATCTCCAAGAAATCGTCGACTTTCTCGAGTTTGAAAGTAGAGGAATGACATATTGGAGTCGCTAGTGGAATTGTTTTCTTGCCAGTGTATTTCTTTGGTTTGACAACAACAGCTACTGTATCCAAAGATAGATCTTCTAGTTTACGATCAGGCAGAACAGGGTCTCGACGATTTCTGTAAAATTAAATTACATTCAAAGTTAGTTGATATTATATCTGAACAGAAGATACCTTCGAATTGTCAACAGAACCATTGTCCAGCCGATAAACTCATTCTTTGAAGAAGTAGTTCTCAGTAATCCTTATTAGAATCCATAATATTCTAAAATGAAAGCTTGCAAATCGCATTTGCTTCTGGTGTATACGGATTCCAGACCGAATTGTGGACACAAGAAGTTAACTAACTGTATTAGATAAAATAACATTAATTAAATCAAATATCGTACGCAAGTAAAGTGTACATTGAATCGAGTTAACTTACGACATCTTGGCGAGTCAATTCAATGTCTCATCAAATTGCTCTTTATCTGTCTTTATCGGGTCAGATTTACTGATAGCCTACTTATCGTTAGTAATGATAATAATCATTTATCATACGTAAAATGATCGCACATGATACGACACGGAAAGTCATATACATGTCCAGTCATAATTTTATTTTTATGAGTAAAGATGTATTTTCTATTTGACTATACCAATTTTCAGCTGCAGTTTCTATCTGAATTGAAAACTAATTAGACACGTACGACGTCGATTTGCTGGTGACTGTTTTCATAAATATAAGCTTTTGAATTCAACACGCTTCAAAATCAGCTTTTTATCGCAAAGAGAATTGCCTGGTGCTGTGGGTCCCCTTTGACAATTCTGTGGCCCCAACTTCGTACCTCTATCGAATGAGTCATAGTAGAAACGCGACTGTGTACATCATTTAATATTGAAACAAAACTATTTAAGTTCGCCATTTTAGGGAGTTGATTTAGGTCCTGAATATATGTAAATTGTCTTCAGATGTATTAGAAATGCACGGAAATCGAAAACAGGTAAAATATTTTTTTCATGACATATTCGAATGAAATTTTGCATACTTGCACACAAGTGTCTTTTCTTGAAATGTCTTGCATTTTAAACGTCATTTCAAAATCTTAACCATTGAATAATTGGCGTCTTGTTAAGACAATGTATAAAATGAAATGAATGGAGTTTTACGTCCTACTTTTCTGCACCATGTGGGCTAATGGAGACGGGCAACGCCATGTGGGGTGTATTGAGGAAAATTTTGCCAGGAAAGCGACCTTAGCTTGCGCTTTTTCAATTTCCGAAGACAAGGTTTTAGAGATAAAACAGATATTGTCCAATGAATAGCAATGCATGGTGATCTTCCATGGCATAGGTACAATTCAGATTTTTTCGTTAGATAAAGATAATGTTTACAAACCAGTTAGGGCATTGTCCTCTTATTAGGGCGGGACAAACTTAGGGTGTCTTTTCATATTCAAAATAAGTAAAGTGGTTGCTATGTAAAGTTATTATTAATAGATAGTCATTTACCTATTTACTGTAATATGATTTTTTTTTATCTTTACAGTTCACATAATTACCATTTTTATTTTCTTCGAAATCGAGTTATTAGAGGGTGCGTATATGAAAACATATTGCATGATATCAAAACAGGTGTGCCATTTTAATCATGCCTTAGTCCCAGAAATGGAAATTCTTAGTTTGGGGTGCAGTATTTGAAGGAATTATTTGACTTATTTGGCTTAATGATTCCAGAAATTGATAATTATAATCATTTAACGGTTTTTAAACTTTCCTAGTTGCAAACAATACAATAATTATATATATATTATATGCTTAAATGGTATACAAGCTTTCAATTTATTTTCAAAACTTTAATTACATGTTCTTTAAGTTCTTGACTATCGCTCTTTAACAAAAAACAATAAATTATTATATGTTTGGCAAGCTAACCCACATGAAACCATTGTTAATCACAGGAAATCAACGATTGCATATTGAATACACATATTCCAGTAACAATACCCATTATATTGCTAAAATAAAAGTTTGTAACTATAGTTTATATATATGACTCACATATATTAAAGGAGCAAATCTGTCATTTTTTGGCGTCGATTTGTGGTCTTGAATGTATAAAAATAGTCTTCAGGCGTACTGGAAATGTACGAAAATTGCATAATTCATTCAAAAATACTTCAAACTAAGAATTTCACCTTCTATTTCTGTTTAGCTTGGACAAATAATTTCAGTTTCTGAGACTAAGGTAAAATTGGTTAGATAGGTAGGCCAGTTTTTGACCAATCATACTCTAGTTTCAGAAACTGGACTTTTTTTAGCTGAGTAATCAGTACTAATGTTCACTGCTCATCGTCGAAATTTGAGACTTCAAATCCATGTATGTCCTGAAGTATCTGCGTTTGAATGTTGAAATGACAACTCGTCAATTTAGGATACTCTGTGATATATAAAAAAGACATTATATAGAAATAGTGAGTAAAGTCTCTAGTTTTTTTAAAGGAATTGTGTGATTTTCGTATTTTCATACATTTCTAGTACTTCTGAAAACTATATACATATATTCAAGACTAAAATCAACCTCCCAGACTAGCATACCTGTCCCTTTAAGGTACACCAAACGTAAATCTATGTACAAATCAACAAAACATAATTACAGGCACTTAAATTCCTGCGAATCGGTCAATAAAAACCTTTACAAAAGATCATATTCCAACTATTATAAAGAATACTTTGCAGTGAAAGAACGTTATCTATTCCTACATATAAATTGGCCAGTAACTGCAAAATCTGCTTTGCCTTCGTTTCCATAGAGACTACTATTGACGTGTTCTAGTGGCGAGAGTTCACTACTTAACGAACAATAATTGTACATTCTATTGAACTACTTCTAGCCATATTCCAAGATAAACCCAAATGTTCCATTCCCATTAAGGAGTGGCTGCATATAAATATTATGAAACCTATTGTTTTTTTCTCAGTGTTTCCATTCGACAGACTTCAGGTAAGAAAAGTACTTTAAGGTGGGTTTACGTCAACAACAAGAATCTGAAAGCCACTGATTTCCAATAGCAATTGACATTCGAGAATAAACGGTCGATAGATCCTTAACGTTTTATAGAAATCGCAGATCATATTATTGATTTGGCAAATGTACTCATGGAAAATTGAAACTTGCTGACTCTTAAGTTCGCTGAAAAAAAGGGTATTATGACTCGCAAAGTATTTAAATTGATGCCTGAAGTTGGGAGTATAGAGTGAGTAGAAAGGACAGGAATGAAAATCTAAGAGGAAGTAAGTATGCGAAGGGTATGGTAGATAGAGAACAAGGATGCAGGCAGGAAAGAATATAGGTAGATGATGAGTAGAGAGAAGGGATGAAACTAGATATTAACGTCTAAGGAGTTGAGAGGGGAAGCTCTAGCAGTGGTGTGTTAGCTGTACATGAGGGCTACTCTTTTTAGATTCTTCCGCCTAATCGGACTAAAATTGGTTATAAAAAAAATCTTTCGTAAGTGGCCTCAGTGGTCAACTGAATTTGCAATGAATTCCCTCCCTTGAAGCAAAACGTATATAAAACGTTACTGTTTGAATTAAAAGTTGTGATTCGTATTCAATAAAAAAAAATTCGGAAGCAATGAAAAATGTTCCGGTTTTAGACATCAGATCCATATTGCTAAAGGCGTCTTAAAGAATTTAATAATAAAACATCCACATCATAAGATAAGGTACAAAGCATTCCCCAAGGTGTATAGAGAACCCCGAACGTTGACCATCATAATTAAATTTGACAAAAACTCTAATTAAAGATTTGATTTAATTCGTAGATCGCCGTTGTAGATAATACGAAATAAGCACACATAATGAACGTAAGCATTCAGGCTTAAAAAATGTGAGCGTTATTTCAGGATGCAGCCTTCACTGGTATTTGGTGTGTGTATTGTGGTTTGCTTGGTTGGTTTGCTAACAGCACAGTGTCACCGTTACGATGTCAATGGATGTAGTATACCATATAATTTACCCTATTTTTATAAACAGAGTTTTACACCATCCTGTGACAAACATGACGTCTGTTATGAGTGTGTAAGTTATTTGATAGTGAAATCTGTGGCTTAATTAATCAATGATCGAGGGAAAACCAAACAATCATATCAGTAAATAATGCTCTGAACTATTCTGGTTTATCAAATTTAGCTAACCAGACACTAAGAATGCTATGAATTTAAGTTGAAGTACCGGGGTCCTTACCATTCAAATATCCAATCAGGTAAAAGGACGGTGATTGAAAATGGTGGCCTTCATTGAATCATCGGAAACTGTTGCAGATTGGCACCAACCCATCAGTGATCGATGTGAAACTTGACAGATGATTACTTACACGTGTCTTTTTTTAAGAATTTAAGACTAATATTGTTTCAGGGAGCTGCAAAGGGGATACCAAAAACTACGTGTGATATTAAACTGTATAATGATATAAAAGCTGTGTGTGCGTCTCATGGTGTTGGAAGACGAGATGTTGATAAACGAAGTCTGATCAGTCAGTTCTGTAATCTGGTGTCTGTTAGTTACTATGAAGCTGTCAAACATTTCGGCGCTGGCTATTTCTCTCAAGTATCCCCAAGTTGGTGCAGCGAAAGCTGGGTTAGAGGATGTCTTCCTTAGATTCTTCCTTAATAAAATGTTTTGACATTAGGCTAACGTGTGTCGAATCAAAAAAGGATTCTAACAGTTTGTAACTAGTTGGAGGGCGCATGCCTGTAGGCTACTATGGTATTTTGTAATGGATAGGCCTAATATAATATGAAATCCAAAAATGTAGGCCTGAGCATGGCACTTATAACTACATCATCTTATCAGTGGTGATAGATAAGGTACACGATACTGAATGGATGGCATATGGAGGATGGATAAACTAACCATCAGTAAGTCATTAACAGGATGTGGCGGGAAAACTTTCTCTTTTTCAAGGGGGTTTACTCGTAGAACGATTGTTAAGTGATATATTATTTAAATGTTAATATTATTTATTATTATTATTCTGAAAACCGAAACACAACATTGTCTGAAAAATTGAAACAGGCATCGTTGGCTGCAATGACTATAGGGATTTTTAGCTTAAGCTGCATACTTCTAGAAATTATAATAATCTTTCTATACAACTGTCCTGACTGAACCAATTTCACAAATTTGATCTAATCGACATAAATGACTCATTGTGTAAGCACATTATAGATTAACTGTCAAGTACTTACTCAAACAAATTGGATTTTAAAAAAATCAAATGCTTAGTCAATAATCAAGAACGAATTCGATAAAATATCTTAAAGATTTACAATAATCATAAGAGGACAGAATCGATCAAAGAAATTCAGGTAAAGTCAAAGCCACCTAAAGGACTTTACTGTTCCCTAGGTTGAAAAAGTGGATCCGATGGCACAAGAAAAAAACTCGTTACCCTAATTAAATTAAGATTACACGTTCATTTCACTTTTTCTGATAGTTTTCATCTCATTATAATCTAAAAGGTTTTCCACCACAGTCCTGTTCTAATGACATTTTGTAACCAATTAAAGAGTGCCATGTAGGACCCTTTTTTGAAAACAATGACGACGTCCCGCAATTCGTAACGTTATCAAGAAAAAACAAAGAGGCGAAATTGTAACTTAAAGCTGTGTTTACACTGCCATATAAATTGGCCCGCTTGATGTGAACCGTACTCGGTTCGGACTCGGCCCGAATATTTTGTGGCAGTCTAAACGCGGCCTTTAATTTAATCAAGTTGAAGGTTATTGTGTTTGCTAGTTTTCAGTGGTCAGTATAAAAACAACTCGTTCGATACTTCACCAATAAATATTAACTTCGATCAGAGTTTTATTTATAATTATCTTTGTCTGAAGATTAATGATGGAAATTGATTAAATAAATACTCACATCCGATGAAAAAGCTTGATGTCACACATAAAACTGATTTCATGTAGGCCCCATCTTAGGTAATACAAAAAATGTACAAATTAGGAATTTTAGGTTGTAACATTGCGGTTAAGCAATGTTACGAAAGCATAGAAACAGGCATGTAGGCGTAACCTCTAGTGATAGAGCAATGTTTGTGAAGTTAGTTTAAAAGAATGATATAGAATATTTGAAATGCAAATCCATTATCTTCCGAATCTGAAATATGTAAGAAGAATACTGGTTCCATCAGGAACATTAATAACCATGGAAATCATAATAAACATTTTCACTGGTTAAACTGAGGAATTGTCATATATTAAATGAAAAGGAAAATGCGTATTTCATATAAAAAATATATATAATTTATTAAGTGAAAATAGTATACATGTATGATATTTTTGAGAGGAAACTCTTCAATTGTAAGTTATCATAAATAAGAAATATTAATTAAAGGAAATGTACTAAACCTATGGAAGGGGGATGAGGGGTAATCTACCACGGACTAAGTAGATTTTTATTACGGGTATAGACGATAACTAAATCATTTGTAAAGACTGTTGGAAATTTTTCCTGCAATTCTTTGTAAAGACGGATAATTATTCGGGGAACTTGACCAGCTGTGTTGTTGTATTGAATAACAAAAGGTATAATTTGGAAATCAACTTGGATGTTCATACCTAAAGGATGCATGGTTTGTAATTTGTTTATCCAATAATTTTCGCGAATGAGTCGAATTTACTTTGTATCAATGCCAGGTTGTTCGTACATCTGTTCAATGGGAATAATTTTCAGGTCTGTTAATTGGTGATCGGGTTAATTGAAGTGTTTTGAAACGGTTTTATTGATTTTTTTTAAGTTGATGTCAGACGGTGTTACATAATGAGAGAAAGAGCACTATCGTTTTTAACATGTATCAACCCTTGTGGTTCCTTTATCCAACTATTCGTTCAGCAGGTGAAAATATCGGCGATCAAAGTTTGCTGCATAAAATATTCATTAAAAGCTATTCTCTATACCATCCTTGCGTGACGTTATATAATAAAAACGGACAGAATTAAATATTTCAAACGCTAGAATGTCAATAGACTCATTCAGTTCACTGATTCTTTAATGGTAGAAATATAGTAATACCGGTAATATACCCACTTCCATAGGAAGAAAGTTAACGAGAAATTTTTGAAACTACTGCAGTACCTGTTGCATTTTCTGTATTCAGATTCATTATATCAATAATATGGATGGCTTCTTGATAAATATTTATGGATTATTAATGCATGGCGCTTTAAAAATATTCGTAGCGCAAAATATTTTTTAATTAAGTTAACTAGAGAAAGAAAATTTCACAATATTAATTCTGAAAAGACTGAAATTAGCTGTAACTACTCAAAGATATCATCTACAACAATAATATTATAATGCCTTTAGTTTTAAATCAAAGTTGGATGACATTTATCGACTAGACATCAAAAATTCCTTTTCATTCCATGTAGAAAGAATTTTTAATCTATTTCGTTTTGTTCACGCTCGGGTGAAGTTATGTTTGTTCAAAGAGAGGGTATTCAATAGAAACATTCTGTTCATGCAATGAGATATATATATATATATATATATATATATAAAATCGTGGTCTGCGCAAAAAAAAGGAGTTGATTAATCGAAGTTGTCTTGAAAACAGTATGGTTTACATCATTAACATGCGATTTGACAATTTTTCAAATGAAAACGGAAAATAAAACGTAATTCAACCGTTTCAATGATTACCATTCACGAAATGCATAAACATTTTACCTACGAGAGGGAAGTCAATTTGTCTGAGAAATTTGTATTATCAACTTTGGAGGGTTCTTAAACCTGTGCTATTTGTAGATTTGTTGACCCCTTGAATTTCGATCTGATCAGCAATACTTGACCATATCAGAACCCCCAACCTTAAGGGATCTGCAAATCGAATGGTACTGCCTCAGTGGCTCAACTAGATGAATGGGGGTCCGTGGAAATAGGCCTCACTCCTGGGATTTTTTGTTAAAATATATGCTCTCCTGTATTCTTTTGTGGGAGTTAGGACAGTTGAACCACTGTGCCATCTGGAAATATGTAGCTATTAGCTGGGAACTACGAAAACTCAGGTTTGTACGGAGCGCAAAATCGAAAATAAATTTTTTTTGTAAACAATATTTTATTCATAAAAAATATGAATGGGATTAGGGAACAAACATTCGCCTATATAACCCTTCTCCATATCGAAAGTAAATCAGGATTTCATGATGTTGTGGAATATTTTGCTAAATATCAAATGGAAATGAAATGAATGGAGTTTTACGTGCGGGCTAATGAAGACGGGCTAAATATTAATTTCTGGATACTTTTCACAGGTCAGTTGTTTCGGATGTACTGAAAAGGAGGATTCATTATTAGTAACTTGTCCTCATTAAACCTATGTCAATCGTTGCAGTATACGCAATAATACTTGAAACACTTGTAAATGACAGGTAGATCGGAGTGCACTTGAAGTCGATCGTTTCCACAACAAACAGATTTGTTAATTAGGAACTGAGACAATTTAATAATGCATTGTTTGAATTAATTGTACGGATTAATCTTCACGAAAAGAATAAAGATAGTTTTCACATAATCTATTTATATTTGGTCCTCTATAGATAGAATACGATGTACTATTGAAACAATAAAAAAAATTGAACAAGGGAAAGTATACCTTCGAAATACACATGGTCCAAATAATATTTTTTTAAGTGACTGGAATTACCGTATAGTTTTTATATACTTGCTCATTCTTCACGAAACTTCTGGGCTTGCATTCTGCGGCTTACATTGATAAAATCACTAGCAAAATTTTGGAGAAATTGGCTTAACAAGAATCACTGAGTCATAAATCATTTATTCAAAAAGTGGCAAGGACTGATCTGTGATATCATTTAATGCACTTGAAAAAGTTCAATCAAAAACTATATCATCCCGTTTATGGGTATATTAGATACATGTTATTACTAATCCTTCCACAACCACCTAAGCAAGAAAGCTGAGAACCCAGGATGTGTATCAACAAAAACTTGAATTATTTATCCTGTGAAAAAATGGTAAAATACCATCATCTTGGCCCACCAACCACTCTGAGTTCATCTCAAAGTTCATTTACATAAAAACATCACAATACATACTATCACCAAGTAGCCAAAATACTGGTACATAATATAAAGATAATTTACAACTAACAAATATTTACTGGATTTAACAGATTCCAATAAAAAAAATTCTTAAGTGATACACATGCGCAAGCCATTTGAAGAACAATGCATCAGTTACAGGTCTTCCTCAAGCTAAATTCTTGATATTTAAAACATTTGATTACTAAATGGTAGACATAATTTGAATATTCATAAGCAATTATAATATTTGATGTATCTTAGTTCCATATAGAAAGCAATTCCTATATAAGTCTGTATAATAATATCACATAAAGATGACATATACATTTAGATATCACTAGAAATTTTGATCACATATAAACTGGTTTCTGTAAGAATAAATATCTTATCATTAGCAGCATGCAGTCCTAATATAGCGTCTGTTGTATCAAGGGAGATAACTTGTTGTTTAGCAATAGTATTCACCTGTTTGCCAGTCTTTCTGTTTCGCAGTGGAGAATTTATAGGAGAATGTCTGTGGTAAATATACAGATGTTTCGAGCAATCGCAAATTACTGAATAAGAACAATTTGGTGCACTTGATGAATATTTCTTCTGTTGTTTGGAAGCTTGGACATAACCCAATGCATCGAATGTTACAACGTGTTGCCATGGAGACACCCCACTGGATACTGGTTCAGTTGGTTGCCACATACAACCATCAACATCATGTCGTAAACACAGTGATTTTGGTTTACCAGGCTCTAATTTTACTGTAAATAACCACTGGTCTGATGTGTTTATCTGTAATATATTCAATGTAGACAGGATTAACATGAATTTCTCATACATAACCATATTCTATAAGGATAACAACTAAGGCTCTCTTCTCCAAACCTCTGAGCATTGATCTTTTCTAGATTACTAAGCACTTTACATTTTGTCTGAAGCCAAACCTCTGAGCATTGATCTTTTCTAGATTACTAAGCACTTTACATTTTGTCTGAGGCCAAACCTCTGAGCATTGATCTTTTCTAGATTACTAAGCACTTTACATTTTGTCTGAAGCCATACCTCTTAGCTTTGATCTTTTCTATATTACTCAGCACTTTACATTTTGTCTGAAGCCCAACCTGAGCATTGATCTTTTCTAGATTACTAAGCACTTTACATTTTGTCTGAGGCCAAACCTCTGAGCATTGATCTTTTCTAGATTACTAAGCACTTAACATTTTGTCTGAGGCCAAATTTCTAAGCATCGATCTTTCCTAGATTACCAGGAAAATTACATCAAGATACGAAAGATCTAACTTATTGAGATACACTGAAACGAGATTCAATTACCAATGCAAAGTTATAATTTACTCCTTAATGTGATCTATCAAAGTATCTTGGTGGAGCTTAAAAACACTAAGCCTGTATTTACTAACCTGATGAGTTATCTGATGAGTTTCACCATCAATCCTCATTAAAATCATACCAGTATCTAAATCACAATCTTCTAATTCTTGACTATTATATACACGATTACCACAATCTGGATCAGGATTCTACCCAATATACAACAATCATTTTTTATCTCAGACACTTAGGGCGAAGATAAGGAGGACACTGATAGCAACAATTTGCACCATTGGTACTTTCAGTCTATGGTTTGTGCAATTCCAATAAACCGAGTGTTTATAATAAAATCTACAAATGAGATCCTTGCCATATTGACCTCATAAATTGCTTAGTTTAGTGTATGAAAACACTGGCGATTGAATCAAATGCTTTTCTGGTCTCGTAGAGGATTCAAAATTCACTCTTTATTCAGACTATTTTAGCCAATACACTTAAAAACTTACCATTTGATCTGAAGTAAAGGCTTCCAGTCTTTGATGAATAGCTTCTATCTGTTGAGAATCTAAAACTAATTCACCAGATGCATCTCCTTCAACAACTTCTTTCCACGTAGAACTATCAGTCTTACACAATGTTAACTCTAACCTAAGGTTAAAATATAGAAATTGAACATCTTTGCCAGCAATTACATTCTGAATCCAAATTTCATAGTATATATCTATAAGATCCTATTCATTTGAATTGTCACACAATCAATATTTCAAGACTTTCTTATGCTTACCCAGCCAAATGGTTTAGTAAATGTTACTATTCCATATAATGTAAGAAGTAGTATTCCTGCTATTCAAATTAAAGATAAATACCTCTGTCCAGTGATGGTCCAGGTACAAGCCTCTGTATCTACTGTTCTATATAATTTACCATATAGTAAGTGGGAATTACTGTTCTTAATACCCAGTTCAATATAATCAGGTTTTATGATGAAATATATATCAGACTTTTTAACGTTATCTTTTACTGTAAACTGTACACTTATATCTTCTTCTGTTTGATTCCAAGTATATCTTGGTTCCTTGTTACCTGTAATATCAAACAAATCGCTTGATGTATGCTATGTTTTAAGACTTATATAAGGCTATTTGGACGAAGTTATTTATCTATTTGTGAACTTCTATACCAGTACTGGTGCAATGTTGTATAATAACCTATTTATTTTTGGACTATTTGTATGAGGAAGTATATCAATTAAAAATGAGAAATTCTTAATACTTAAAAATCATTACTTACTGGCCCCAATCATTTCATAATCATCATCATTAGAATTAGTAGTAACCACCGGTTTCACTGAATCACTTGTTAGTTTGAGTACTTTATCACCAGCTAATAGTACTGCTTTACCAGTTTTCTCAAATACACAATAATCTAGTATACGGCCAGTAATATCTTTAGTTTTAACATCAGGTATAGGGTCTTCAATACGTCTCTTTCTTTCTAACATCCATGTTTTATCATCACCTAGATAAATAAACGTAGAAAGAAATGGATTGAAGTTCATATCAAAACGAAGAAAGCATAGAACCACACTGACAAGGTAAAAACAAGCACAAGGCCTGTCCAGTCTACCAATTGACAATTCATTTTACCAAAGTTACTATGGATTGCTTCCAATAGAAGTGACTACATTAGACTGTTCATGTATCCTTAATTTACAAATAGATATAATTGTCCAGACTGTTTACAAAGTTACAAAAAGTTACAATACACATAATTAGTTATCTATTGATATAATTATACAGACTTTATTAAGTTATAGGTGCCTATAACATATAGAAACGATATCCAGTCCACATTTGGTAAGTAAATGCAAATACTTGATTTTACCTGTAGATATGGTTATCCAATCTATAATAGGAGTGAAATGGGTTTGGTATTCATCTTTTTCGCTATTATCAGTTATGTGTATAACAAGACATTCAATATGACTACTTTCATTATCTATATGGTAAATACAGTCAGACAGATGATAAAAACATTTCTCTTCTTCTAATATATTGGTTTTAAACTCACTCTGAAATTACAGACATGATCATAGCTAATCTTGATTAGTCTGATTTCAAAATTTTTTAACATATCATTTAAAAAGAATATTGAATATTATTATGGATATAAACTAATTATGACAATATCATTTAGCCTTGTAATTGAACCTACCATATTCAATGGAATATAGAGATAACGTTGCTTAAATCAGTTAATCCTGCAGAATTGGACCAAAGTTACAGCAAAATTTGCATATCATTTTAGTTAAGTGCAGAATAGTAGGATGTAAAACACTGCACATTTAGTTTATTCATATTATTAAATATATGGTAACCATGATTTGAAAAAAGTTACCTGCCAAACATTCTGAGATTGTCTATTCCCAGTTGTCAGTATAAACAAATTTCCAGTTCCATCAGATAATACAGCCAGTTCAGATGATGGAAAACACAAGGACACATTGAATCTTCCTGGAATTAGTCTTAGATTAGCTGAATCTGGTATACTGTATACAATATTACCACTTTCTATCTTATTTTCCTTAATACAAAAAAATACAAATTAATATCTCTTTCACAAAATAATAAGAAATGACTGATGACATGACATGTGATGGCAGCATGATAACATTTTTGAAATTTAAGGTGATATCTACATAAGTTTACTGTGCAGCTTAAACGCAACTGTTTAATATTTTGTAGCATGGACATGACACTATAATCATATTTAGTGATAGAGGTTAAAACTGATAGATTCACAGGTTTCAAAGGCACAACACCTTATCATCTATCAGACTTGACCTAAGCTTGGTTAACAATTCAATAGGTGATTGAACAAGAGAACTTACAGATTGAAGACAAACTTGGTGTATATTCCACAGACTATCAACATAATAAACTGTATTTAGATTCCAGGGGTCAGAAAATAAATGATTGTAGTTTCCATATAGTTTGGAATGTAGATAAGAAAACTGTTTTTCTGTCAACTTTGCAAAATCTACATCTAAAATAAAACAAAACACAAAATTAATTAATCAATGACTATGCATTGACACCTTTAAGAAAATTGTCATTTTTTTTCTTCAGAAATGATAACCACTAAAATCCACCATGTAACACAATAAATGAAAGAAGTCAAAGAGCTGCTCAGTTTCAAAATCTGTAATGAGGAACAGTAAAGTGATTGAAGTTACAAGCTCTGCAAAAAAGGTTTTATTTCACTCTTACCATCCACTTTTCCAATATGGTATTCGAACACTGGTAAAGTGTCTAATTCAATCCTATAACCAATGAAGTTGGGCGTTAACAAGTCAGTTCTTGGTTTCAGATAATGGAACATGTCTATTTGAGATATTTTCAACCACACAGCTCACAATTTCTTAATTTTCACATAAATATAAATAATACACAGACTTCAAACAGGGGTGAACCTTTTTTTAGTCAATCAGATGTTATTTTGTAGCCAGACCAACTTGCCGTGGCAGTTTGGACATCAAGAAGAGGGTGACAGTAATAAATTTTGTTGTAGGCCCATTATCATATACGTCAATTGTATTTTAATATATCCAAATCTAGTCAGAAATATAATGCATTAATTATAATCGTGGATTTGGACACGTGTCTCTTTCTTCGTCATATTTGTTTACAAAATAAAATTTGCCAACAAAGGAAAATCTACCTGTCATTTGGCCTAATAGTAGTAAAATCCTGAAAAACTAAACTCAAAAGCCCAACCTTTATCAAGACTTGTTGAATAAACTGGTAATGGATCGAGAGAAAGTTTGTAACCATCGAAGTCTGGATCTAGAAGCTCTCTATCAACTTTCAAGTCAACTTTGGCAGCCATGTCTGTTTTAGTGACTAAATACCATAAGTAACCTAGCACAAACAGATACAACCAAAAAAGATCAAGAAAGGGAAAACAAAATATAAAAAGACCTACTTCCAAGCCTATGATATTGGTGAAAGATTAATACGATCTCATAGTTCATAATCTATCTTGAAGTTGAAATATCAATGAGTTCATGACCTATTACATCTTACTTTACTGTTCGCGGCTATTAGTCGCACCTAAAGAAAACGGAGTGTCAATTGAATTACGTAGATATACATTCTGCCCCACTGTCAGTAATATTGTCAGTTACAACTGTTACAACTGCAAAAGGTAGGGAATACCTTTAAGAAATGTCATGTTCCCTCTAATATCAATCCAATTGTTCAGAAAAATAACCATACGTACCATAATTGTGTGGAATTGCGCGAAAACGTTAGAGGAAAATGAAAATTTCTTATGAAAGTCTTGGTCTTAAAATAGAAATTTTTCTTGGAAATCCCATGTTTTTTTTTACCAACTAATTTGACAACAACAATCAAATCAGAACCTTTAAGTCTTGAACAAAATTATTGGTCTGCTGAGTGAAAGATTTTCTGACTGGTTCTGCTTCTGTCTGGTCAGGAACTTGTTTTAAGGAAGGCCTCTAAGGAAAGCATAACCTACGTCCAACCTTTAATGTGATTCAGAAACTATAGGTACATTTCAGACATAGACTGAAACATCCTGTCTCTCAATTCTGTCGGTGTAGAGTCAGAAGTCCATCTATGAATACATGTATATCTGGAAATAGTGTAACCAAAGTTTATAAAGAAGGCTACATAGTTTGAGTAAAAACACCTGTCTGATGGACATTTATCTAATTTATACATAATGTCAAGTTGTTGTAAGATACATCTTATTCCATAATTATCTAATACCGTACTCTACAAAATTATCTGTTCAAAGGTCTAAATCAAGTAATAAAAAATTGCATAGTGGTCTGTCTCTAAGATACGTAGTTATTTAGAGTCAACTTACTTGTCTGTCTGGTTCAAATAGTAGCCGGGACACATTGTCACCTTGCTGGAACATCCAGTGGGGCAGAAAATGGCGAACCATGGCCTTTAATACAAGTTTAGTTGAACAGACCATGTCATATTTAGGTGAATTTATTTTTATTTCATTTTCAGTGTCAGTCTCAGGCTTAGCTAAGGCTGAATGGAGGAAGATTCTGTACCCCAAAAACCTGCACCTGAGGCAACAGGCCATTCAAAAAATACAAGTAGGCCAAATATTAAATTGATAAGTAAGTACTGCCCAATTGGTACTCATATATATATTATAAAGGTCTCTGTTACACGTCTCATGGACGAAGTGATTTAGATCTACATGAAATCTTTTTTCTGATAGAAGTAAGCTTATTTGAAGGCATTGAAGCTTGGAAAACGTGTTGAAAGCAGGAAGAACCCACCCTCAAAGGCACCAGAAATTGTTTCAAATTTTTTCTTACATTTTTCAGCACCAGATGGATCTCGGTTTGAAATTAGTTCTGAGTGTGGAAATCTGGGTACTAATGTAATGATAGGGGCTTGTAATGTTATGAATGTAGAACATTTTTCAGAAACAAGAAAACGACGGAAAGCAAAGCAACCGTTATCAGGTAAACACTAATATTATATGTGTTGTGCAAGCTGTTGAGATTTATATGCCTATATCAAGACCGAAATAACTTCCTTGTTTCTCATGAGTAGTTAAGAGACTACAGATCCCTTTGATCAGGAACTTAAACGTAAAACTCCATTCATTTCATTTCATTTTTATCAATTTTATCAACTGGGAAAGGAGATGTGCATGTCTCTTTAACTTAACATTGATATTTGTAGAAAACAAAGAAGAACCAGGTCGACATCTGTTACAGAAAATAGCAAGCAAAATTATAATGGAAGAAGCTATAATGCTTGGAAGGGTTTTAAATTTGTCAGATGCAAAAATTGATGAGATTAAAGTAGATAACAGTACTTCTGGTGCAGCAGAGATAAAATACCAGATTCTAGCTGAATGGTGTAAAAAAGATGAAAACCCAACAATTGCTACTTTAGCATTTGCCTTAAATAATATTGAACGTGGAGACATTTCAGACAGATTGCCAAGATAATATTGATAATTTGTATTAGGCTAAGAGTTCACATTAAATAACAGAACACTATATATGATATACTACTCCTCAGTTAGGATGGCAATGTTAATTGTTGAAATGTTATGTACAATTAAACTCAGGAGTAATATACTATATAATTCTGTTATTTGATAATTAAAATTTGACAAAATTTTCGTTCCATTTGTTTGATGACACCGCCAGCCAATCAAATTTATTTCCTCTCAAGCAATGGCAATATATGACTCCAACAAAGGGTGTAACAAAAGGTGTATTCTGGCAAGCATTAGACTAGTTAATCAAATCCATTGAGACTGATGGTGTCGAAAGACGCTTTTGGTTATTTTGAAATAGCCCAGTATAATTCTATTGGTTAAAGTAAAGGTCATCAGGTTATTTATACAAAGAAACCAGAGCAGAGTCTCAAGACCCTTACTGGAGTTGCTAATTAAAAATAAAGACTAACAAAACACCGGAACGAAAGTTTGGTTTTATTTTGATATTTTTTTAATATTTTTTTTATCTGAAACTTGTTGACTTTTAAGGTACAATCTCTTATAGGTGATTTAGGATAAAAAGCATAATTTAATATCATGTTCAGCAACTATAAAAAAGGGAGGTAATTTCAACCTTTACTGCCATAAATTTTGCAATCACAAAGATTGGTATTTTTGTATGTAACTTAGTAGAACCTACATGCAGTTGAATACAGTTGAAGAAATTGATCTGAAATTGAAGATATCCAAGATATCAATGTCAAGTTTTTCTGATAGTGCTGAAAATTAGATTGTATATTCTTTTTGTTTTGTTTTGGGTGGGGAGGGGTCAAATATGCCAAGCATATGACAGTTGAATTTAGAAAATTGACTTTTATTCCATGCATGTATTTTTAAAAAAAAATTAAAGTTATCTTGATGAAATTTTAAGACTGATAGTTGTTTCTGCAGAGATTGTGCATCTGGGCAGTATATCAGTTTAATATCGTCTATAGAGAGGACTTCGATAGTTGGTGATGCATACAGTGTGTTTAATTATTCAGATTTTTGAAGAGAACTAAAACGACAAGATTTTAGTTGATTGAAATGCTAATTATAAGCACTCTGATTTCATACTTTATTTATCCCTTGTTCACAGTATTGCATTTTACTTGCTTACCTCCGAAGTTCACTCAGACAGTGCTCATCTCCATTCAAAAGTTTTGCTCTATATGCAAGATGGAACACTAAAATGAAGAACACACTGTCAAGATCTCATAGGATGTTATTTCCATCTAAGAACCATACATAGATTAGTATGTCAAGATCTATCACAAAAATTTACACCAAGAAAGAACAAATTTAGAGGCGCTGTACACCGTGTAAAGCTTCAAAAAAATTGCACAGGTGCCACTGTACATCAAAGGGCCAATATATGTTGTTTATGATCATAAGTTTGGAGATGAAATAAAACATATTAGAAACGGTTTCAAATATTTATTTTAGCTGTGTATAAATTATGACAATATAAAACATAAAATAGAAAATTAAAATGATAAAAAACAGTAACTTATCAAAATCTAGGTTTTGGCACTTAGTTTTAGGATTAAGCTAAGTAAACATGCTGCAAAATGGAAGACATATTTCATTTGTCAAAGGATATATGAATGAATGAAAATATATATAATTTTCATTGTTTCTTTAAAGTCATACTACCTGTAAGAATGCACTTGAAATTTATATTCTCAAACCTGGCCAATACGAGTATATATTCATCAGTGGACATACCTGGTGTCAAAAATATACAACAGAATCCCTGTCAGATAAATCCATAACATAAGGTAGTTTTAATGATAATTACTTAGTGTTATGGGTTTATCAGATTAAAGAGGGATTCTGTTCTATATTTTTTTGCACTGGGAAGATGCAATGATGAATATACACTCTTATTGGCCAAATTTAAAAAGTCTAAATATCTTGTTTATTTTAAGAGGTAGTATGTCTTTAAAGAGGCTGTGTTCAATAAGAAAATAGCTATAACTTGTAGGTCTTTTAACAAATCTTTTGCCACAATTTAACTGTTAAGATATATGAAAAATTCTTGTGTGTTTGCTTCTACGCTTTTTTGAAATAGATTTGTACTCTTTAAAACAAAACAAAAATTTGTTATTGCTACTCTAGAGTAAAAGCTAGCTGAATAAAGATATAAATTTAATGGTCGGAACTATTTATTATTATGAGTTTTATCCAGATTTATTATGCAATAATGCATTATGTATATTAGAATTATTTGTGTGTTATTTCCCTTCTTTTATTAAATTTTGTATATATATTTACATATGAAATTTCCATGGAAATCTTTTGGTCAGTTACATATTTTCTGTCTGATATCCTGTAATTTCATAAAACAATAACATGACCAAGTGTCACAATTGCCATTCAAAATGCCATTCAAGGCAAAGAGTGTTTTTCTGGCAACACAGGAACCATAGACTGCTGAAGAGAATTGAGATTTTGCACATAATAGCCATAAACACATAAAGGCAAGCTAACCTATATCTCTGTATCTAATCTATTTAAATGGGGATCATCAGTGTTTATTATACTACAATTCATTATTCATTACTATACACATAACATATAGTGACAATGTACATCAGTTTGACAAAATGTAAATAATGCTGTACATTTGAGCTTATTTATTTACAATTTCTATTGAACCCACACCACAAACGTCTGTGATTTGTTTACAATGAAAATTTGCAATAATTTCGGCTCTTCCGACACGTTTTGATGATAACTTCACTGTTTCTCGATACTCTTCTCCAGGGCCAATACTTTTTCTGAAAAAAACAAAATTTTAGTATCGTTCACTGGTTACCATGAAAAGATCTATTAATTTTTCCTGCTACAAGCTGGTCGCAAACAATTATATTTATAATTATGAAGCCAACTTTTATTCTGGTGGGGCATGCCCCTATGTAAAAGCGTCACTGCCCTTCACCCATGAAAACAAAATACACATTACTTACTTGGTTTTAATATCAACCACTCGAGATAATCCAGGACCTTCTATATTGATGATACCATTAGTTAATGGTGCTGATAGGGTATTCACCAACACAACCACAGCTTCAAATGATTCTCCTAATTTAGCATTTCCTTCAGTCTGAAAAAGTAAGAAAAATATGACATACTTAATATGCCATTTAGAACCTGTGGCCCATAAGCAGCGAATTCAAGATTCAGAAATCATACATGCCTTAACAACGAATAAATTTTTAGTTCATACAAATAAGTTTTTCTTTACAAAGTCTTTTCAGAGACAAACCATCAAAAGACTAAACGTCTTTTACTTAAAAAAATGAGTTGCACAGTATTAATTACCTTAACTTCAACTGTTGGTTTTTCTAACCAGAATGAATCTCTAGCAGCAAATCTTTGCCCAGTTTCACGAACTTTAGCAGTAGCATATACATTCACATGAGCATCACCATCTTGACAATTGATGTATTCAGAACATTTTAAAACCATTGTTACATCACTTTCTGGAATAGACATAGTATTTGTTTTGGCCAAAACCATGTTTACTCAGTAGAGTCAATGATGATAGTTGTTCATTAACTGCTAATTATGTTTCGCCAATATGTTGTTTGGATTTCGTTTGCGGTTCAGATTGTTAGTACTTGGGTTATTCACATTGACTGAGATGCTTCACATCCAACAGAGTTCAATTAAATATAGGACTGGCTGTCCAAGTCAATATTGTGATTAAGGTCACCGCATCGTGTCCAAACCACACCCCATTAGTCATACTAACAAAGAGTCAAAACCCGTATTCGTGATACGATGAGGTCACCGAAGCATCTTGAAAAGGTTTTTGTATGAAATATGAAAAGTAATGGCCGATCATCTTACCAGCAGATGCTTCAGTTATAGATGTAGTTGTGGTTTCTTTAAGATCCATACAAGGTACTCCAGTGTAGAAACTCTGGACCATACAGATATAGACATCAGCTACCCGACCTTCACTACTATCATTCTTAATCTTCAATGTTACTTTTATATCGCCAGATTTCTGGCTTTCACCTTGAAATCGGAATTCAACATCTTCTTTACCAATAGGTGTAATTTTAGGATCACATCTAAATGTTGATTTAGAAGCTTTTTCTACTATTTTCTTTGAGTCGGATGAGCCTTAAAACATCAAAATCATCAAGAATTTGTTATGAAGCCATTTAATAAATTGCCAATATACAGATTTAACGTCAAACTTTTTCAACGAGTTTTATCATACAATGCATTTCGTATATTCCATCACCAAAAAAGCAAATTCGTAATTCAGTCATTAGTCAATATCTAATCCATTTCGACTATCGTTTTTAGGAATAACAGTTATTGGAAATTTCAACAGTATATCATTTAGCATAGTTTGTATGTCACCAATTATATTTAAAAATAAATTTTGGTTGTTACCATGTGGATATTTATATGTATTTGTAATGTCTTCTCTTTCATCAGATGATACAGATTTAGTACTGATATTAAGGCCACCAATCTGTTTATCCATTTGAAATGGTACCATATTGCCTTCATTGTCTACTTCCCAATTAATTCTATCAGCATTAACTTCAGCAAATATAAACTTGGATTCGAACCCTAGATACAGTTCACCTTCTTTAATTGCCTTGACGGATGCTGGTCCACAGGTAAACACACCTTGAAAATATAATTTATATGCTAAACCACATCCATGAATACAGTAAAGAGGATTGGTGACCTACAGATTAGTATTGCTGACACGATTTCTTCCGATTTTTTGTGAATATCTGAAAATGTGAATATTCTATTATGTATAGTAAGCCATGATTTCAACTCTGAGAATACTAATATTATACGAGTACAATTCAATAGTACTCACCTTCATTACATTCCTGGGGTGTAGGATCAAACGCTTGCCAACCACCATGGCCGTTTGGTAAATCTGGTCGAGTAAACCAAGCTTCATTCCAAACATGGTAATCCCTGAAATAATAACCCAGGTCAGCATCTTCTTTTTACATGAAAAGGTGTATCAAAAAAGCACGAAGAACTCTGAACAACGTCCATCATTTTGATGTAATTTGATGCATTAATGCTGGCATACACAATGCCAATATACCATGTTACTGAAATATTTTAATATCTTACCATAGGGCATCATCCAAGTTAATTTTAGGTTTATTTGAAGTTGACCAATGTGAGTCTAAGGCACTACTAAAATCACTGTCATGGGCTGCTTTATAACTTGTTACACATCTAGCTGGTATACCCATTGCTCTTAATACTGAAAATATTAATAAACCTATTAATAGCTTATAAAAAGACTACATGTTAGATGATCTACAATAAGAATTTAATGATCAACAATTTTCAAGTAGCTCACTCTTACTGAAATTTTTGTGCATGTTTAGCACATTTTGGCTAAATCGTCCAGAGCTTATGCAAAAGAAAATTGTTTCTTACACGTGGTAGCCACAGCAGCAAAATTCCAACATTGTCCAAATTTCACACCCTTTCGCTTCTTGAGATATTCTTCGAGAATAGCAGCACTACCGTTCCAGGTGAAGGGTGCTACACCATCATCGTATTTACCAGACCAGTTCCCTGTCATAACTCCGGCATCTTGTTCATTGGCTGTTATCTGAAAACCACGGATCATATATATGATCATAGGATGTAGGATAGTTACTTCCTTGTGCTTTAACTTGACGATATCGACAAGGGTATATATCCAGGTACTTTTGTGGAGAACACACGATGTAGGAACCGTAATGGTGTGGCTATCGATATTTTTACTTTGGTAATAACACAAATAAAAACTTACGCTTCTGCCAATAGCTCTAGTTATAAATATTGGATTACGTCTAGCTGCATCTCCTAACTCAGATTTATCTAACAATGCTAAAGCTGCTATAATACATACATCTTCAAACTGAAAATACCAGTAATTCATTCATAAATTAATAACAACATGGCAAATACAAATGGAAACTAAGACTATGTACATGCATTGCATGTTGACGGTTGACAAAAAATGCAAATCATATACTTAAACCAGAGCAATAACTATTGCCTACTGGAATAGATTGGAACTTGAAAGTACGTGAAAATAATTTACACAGTTGTCTGAAGATTTGCTTTACAGACCAACAGAGCCCAATTTCAGCTATCTGTGCAATTTTTCAAAATAAGACTTTGACGCCCGCTTTCGATTTAGAAAAATGTAACGAGAATTTTATCAGCTCATAAAATAAGTAGTAAATTAGTTACATGGGACATTGACTCTGATGTTAATTTGTTAATATTTTGATGGAACACCTGACACGTGTATCAATTTAAGTATAGTTATTCAATACCATTTATAGTTTATTTTCCTCTTTCTTTTTGTTGCGGTTGTATGTCGATTGACTGTTGTTCCTATTACATACAGATCGTTTGGGGGAGGTAAGGGGGGTGTGTGAAGGAATATCTTTAACCATGCGTTTGATTTGCCTACATTTCAAATGACAGTTCTTCAAAACGCAGTCGTATTTACCCTTAGCACCACAAATGAGGAGGGCTTCTAGAATCTCTGGACCAAATTGATAAAAGGACTGATAAATTAACATAGCGAAATATTATTAGATCATATGATTTCAAGAGATTCTATCTTAAAGTGTGGAAGAAACATCGCTAAATGTTAAAAAGTATGAGTCTAAGTGGGTATCTTGAAGATCTGTACCTGATCATAATTCCAAGGTCTGACACAGAATTTATTGGCAGAACCTAACCATATTCTACCAGTTTGATTTAAGACATATTCCTGTCTATTTTCCTCTTTATCAATAAACACCATATCATCTAAAACATAAATCATATTCCTAATTTCATATCTTATGTATAGTGCATTTGGAACTTCGCCCAACTAGAAATTCCTTGTTTATGGCTTACATTCTGGAATCAAAACTTTACCATAATACTGTATAGTCTGCATGCTCAAAATGGTATCAAATTATGGATGTGGGTACAAATCATTAACCATTTTCAAAATACTGTGAAGCTAGGAAGGAACCAACTTACTTAATTTCGCATGTCGGATTATAACAAGACTCTTTTTATAGATCCAACGAGTTGTAAGTAGATAGCGACTCTGTTGCATGCCCTGAAAGATTCACTATACAGGTATAACTATAAGAGATTGTAACCTCCAGTGTGTTCCCGATGAAGTTATTGTCGATTTGACGAATACTTACTCTCACACCAAGGATTAAATAAGAGATAGATATCATCAGGATGTTTATATCGGAACTTCTCTATTTCCTTAGAATTCTGTCCTTTATGAACAGTATCTATAAACAGCTGATATCGTCCGATGATAGCGTTGGCACCAGACTTTACTCGCAAAGTCACCTGCTTCCCAGCATCATCCATTACCTTGTACCACCAATCATTGGCGTCTTTACTCTCTTTATTATACACCGGTATAACTGTACTCTTACTTTGTTGTGGTCTGGACCCTACAAGAATTTGGGAAGAGTTACATCATTAAGAAAATTTATCAGTTGGTCCAAATGAAATAGAGTTTTACGTTGAATATCAATTCTGTTTCTGATGGTTAAGAGAACCACCACAGAGGTAAAATTTGGTAGAATGGCCATTTAAACTTGAAAACTGTTGAAAACCCCCAGAAATACATGTATTACTCAACAAACTACTATTAAAGTTTAGACAGATATCTATTGAGAAAAATGGTTAGAACAAAACGATGTTATGATCAGCCCGGCTTCCTTACAGGGTTTGGCGCAGTTGGTTCAAGACTTATTGGTTTCGAGTGTCTCACCTACCTGTTACAAATTTCAGTATAATTTCATCTTCTATTTTAATATAATTTCTTTCAAAGAGAATAATTATGTCAAATTCTTGGCCACGTCTAATTATCAAATTAGGAAGGTTGAAGGCTTTAGTATGATGACCCTCTCGATTTACTGTTCTTAATAAATCCACGGATTTGGGTTTCAGTTCTCCTTCTGTAAAATAAAAATATAAAGGAATCCGAGAGGGAGATTAGGAATGGAGAAAACATACTCGTAGCGTTGGATAGTTGGCACCTTCTCAATTGCATGTATGATTGTAGTGATAGATTTAAGCATTGTATGGAATCTTACATTGATGATGATGAATGAGTCTGATATAAGGGTTGTTTATTCAAATTGGTGATGATCATGATGGGGATATTGATACTGAAGACGTTTATGACGATATTATATATTATATTATTATGCTGATACTGGATTCAAAATGAAACATTACGCACGAAAATGCTCCCATTATCCTCCAAAACAGACGTTTAACTTGAAATCGCAAGTAGAATCTTGAAGTGACCCGATATGAAATAAAATGCCAGAACTGTCTTCTATGCATCTGTTTTACATAATTCCACAATATACCCTTTATATGAGAAGAGATAGAAATAAAATGCAATTAAAAGCATTACAAAATAACAATAAATATCTTGAATTTATTTATAATAGAAAACTAAATTGGCCATGAGCCATTTGAAATCATCTTGAATCCACAAATTTAAAACATTTAATTTCTTTTTTCAAAATTGATATATAAGTCTGGTTCTGTATCGTTTTTATAGCCTTTTAAATTCATTTCATATGTTGACATGTCTATAACAGATTGCTTTCAAGGAAATAACTAACATTTGTTCAAGGTTTTTTTTTTTGAATCATCAGAAATAGCCTATGTGATCCTGAAAACATCTTGAAATGATGCATTATTTGGAGGCTATCTTGTATAATTACAAAAACAGATGTTTCGTAGAAATAGATAAAGATTAAATTTCTTATATCAAAGCGTCATTACTTTCAGCAACACTAACAAAATTTCTCTTATCCTGTTATATACTCGTCGATGATTGAATAAAAGAAAATTGCATGGGTAATATAGGTGCTGATAGACATTGGTAATATGTACATGGGTGAATATTAACAACGACATGGATATCTTCTAATATTAAATTGTATATACACCAGGAATGGGAACTGTCACTGAATTATTGAAATTCCTACTGGTCTTTTGACCAAACACGTACCTTCTCTTTTTTCTTTAATAGCTACCAACTGAGCATCCTCTGTAAATATATTGTCTTCAGTAACAGCACCACCATGCTTTCTTCCTTTAAGATTGGACCCCAATAGAGCTGATCTTAAACTACCATAAGCCGACGAGAACCTCTCCGACATAGTCGGCCTTAAAAGATAATGAATGAAATAAGCTATTCCGAAAATGACAAAATTGAACGCAGATGATGTCTGTATTTCTGTATTATGTACATCCGTATTTTTAAAATAGCCATTATTTCAGCTGAGATGATTCCGATAATGATGTGGGGTTGATCAACCATGTCAGAAGTTCATGGAGGGCACTCATTATTTGCCTTGCACGATAGCAGCATCAACAGCAGTTACTACTACAGTGGAGAATGTATTCGTATTCGTACAAATAATAGAATATACGAATCTGTATATCAATGCATGTTATGTACGCAAATATCTAGAGACAGTTAGAAATCTGAAAACAGTTGTCCTGTTGTCCTGGCAAAATATCCAGCATTGAACTGTATGGCGTGACCTGTCCTAATTAGCTCAATCACGCCAGAAAAGTTGGACTTACAACTGCATTATGCATTAGAGAACGTAACGTATAGTAACAGCTGTCATTGTGATAATCTCTGTTGACAGTGACAACGTCTGTATCAGCCATACTGATATAATTGATATACTGTTGTGTATTCATTGTATTGTTCTTTTTTTTTCGATATAAATGAGCAGAGAAAGATAAACATTCGGGTATTTCTTATCATTCTTGTAAATGTAACCTTGTAAAACAATTGGCTCGCTGTGCTTCGTGAAATGTATCTTTATTTTTAATTGTTTATTTCATTGAGATAAGATAATACTAAACATTAAACTTTCTGCTTCAGAAAAAAATAACGACTGCACACTTTAAAGCCACTGCAGATCATTTTATTTTTAAAGGAAAAATTTTCGTTAGAAAATTGGTATGACCGAAAACAATGAAGGTTGGCCAAAAACATTTTGACCATCATCTGACTGTTGATGTGTATGTTTGTCTAACATACAACTAGTGTTTTCCAAAAGTCCTTAGCCTCCAAGAACACGATACTCTGGCAACGACATGGTCAGTAATGTAACATAGCAATTTGTTATTTAATAATTCAAATAAACCTTATATCTACTTAGATGCGATGGTATCGTATTCACCATAAATCCGTTTATCGTTTTCCAATAGTTGTTGTACCAAAACATGAAAGTGATAATAGATTTTGTGTAGATTACTAAAAAGATAATGCATTAAGATTTGCTATACAACATCATATTAAACATGAGAGTGTGGATTTAAACATCTCATATATTTGTTAGTGCAACAATCTTTTTTGAAACGTGGAATGCTCTAACGGTATTTGGTACATGCATATGCCAACACGAGTTGTTTGTATACGATTTGTTCATTTGATAAAATGAATAAAACAAATGTAAACAAACTCCATCTGCTGACTGTGCAAGATAATTTATCCACTTTCAAGCATTCTAAATCCTCTTTAACTTTACATATAGAGGGTATAGAACACAAATGTGATATGTCCAAAATTTCAAATTTCAGTTTTTTTTACCAATATGTGCCATTTTAAACACTCTATCTTGGGGCACAACTCTTATATCTCTAACCTGCTTTGTTTGAGTAGAAAAGTACATTTTTCATAGAGAATGGCTTTCGTCAAGGTCTTATGGTTCGGGGATATCCTTGAAGGCTGCTTGAGAGACAGATACAAAGGTTTACAATATTGTCTTATTACATTTCTGGGATGTACACACAACTTTATTACTTAGCCTGTACATATACTACGTATTACTGCGTTTAAATGACCTCAATTTTAAATATTTAAATCTTGTCAAAAGACAATGGATTAAGAAAACAACAAACTAAATATTTATGTTTAAAATATTTACACGTATAGTTCTTGTAGGTGTTAAATGTATGAAATATGTTTAACTTGTTTTTATAGCCTAGAGATGACGTGGTTTTGTCGACAAATGTTTTATATTATTTTAAATCCATTACACATTCCAACCTAAATAGACCTAAGTGTACTTAAAAATATATCATATTTATATCAAATTTACAAAATTGCCTTAGGCTTGTTGATATTGACAAAGATATCCGAAAATTTAACACAAATTCCCATTTATTTCAGTTATTTGTTGAATTAAGGAAATATTATTTGTGCAGCTCTTTTGGTTAGTTTAATGGCATGAAGTTCGTAATAGCCTGACATTGTGAAGATGGGGTTCAAGTTCCTCAGCTTTTGGCGAAAAAGTTCCTATTAATATTCCTGTCCAGTTCCCATCTATATATGTGGATGTCACTCACGTATATGCATGTGAATGTAGTAGTTGGAGGACGTATTTGCGACAGGAAATGGTTTTAAATATTATTGATATCCGCCATCTCAGTACTTTAGGACGTTATTCACAGTTGTACAGGAGGTGAGGGAGTTGTACAGGAGGTGAGGGAGTATTTGTCCGGATTACCCCCACCCCCCTTTAGATAACACCATCATACCCCCACCCATTGTACCCATGATTTATTTTATTTGAAAATATGAGTACCAAATGCACAAGATCAGTTCAATTTTTTGAAAAATGTTTTGGGAGAACCCTTTCAGATGTTCAATGAGAGGCTTGCGACTATGAAACCTTCACAAAGTTGTTGCATCCTGAAATCAGCATGGAGAGTTGTCAAACCAACCACCCTGCCCCCTCCTCCAATTGTGTCTGTCTGCTCCCTATCAGTACCCCAGACTGGAGCCGCCACTGGTTATTCAGGTTAATTAAAGCGAGATCGAATAAGGAAAGCGCATGTCTTTGAAGTCATTGTGTAAAATTTCCATAAGCGCAGTTGGCGTTCACGTGATCACTCCATCTCTCATTTCGCTTCATTATAGTCGATTTTTAACTGAAGTTTCATACTATGCATTGGTTTTTATTAACTGTTACTTAATATTCAATCCAAACTTTTAGTAATTTAGTAATGTTTATTTTTACTATCTATATGTTTGATGAGAAATCGACGGTAGGCGCAGATAAATATCAGTAACTTGTGAAGTTAACATTTTCTTCAGTGTATTATGCTCAGTTTAACTTGACTTTTATAGTACACTTCCTCGTTATATTAATGTTCTTGTTCATTTACCCAGTGGAATGAGTCAGTACATGCAATCCAAGTTAAAATTAGGCAAAGAGTCGTCGCGGATTGGTGGATCTGTACATACTTGATAAAGAGAGACACTTCTAACTATGGTTACCGTTTCTTAAGTGAGGTATTTGTTTAATTAGCCTCCATTACGCCACGGCCTTGCAATCAGCAATGTAGGTTTATGGTTCCGTTCCCTTAATAATGACTTTGTCTTTGGCTTGACTACTGGATTGTCCTGGCTAACCTGAAGGTGTATAGTTCAACCCTGGCAGAGGTAAAGCTATCACCTTCGATTGTAACTCGTCATCCCGAGTGATTTATGTAGGAGGCTCTAGGACTAGTTAAAGAGCCTCCAGGACCGAAGTTTTCGAATTTAACACCTTGATTCCGTCGCAATACATTTTACACTATGTAAAAGCAAATGAGCCACCAACAGTGTTGCAAAAAACTAGACTAGATGACACTGTCTTGATAAAACGCCACTTCACAGTGTTGCCCTCCTTTAATAAATAAAGAAGTTACAGAAAAGGTTGGGCGTTAAACTTCATCTTATCCCACCAGGGAATAAATAAACTTTAAGATAGAAGCCATCTTTAAGAAACATGTATAAATGTTCAAAATCGTTGTATCGTGTCCAAATATTTATATACATGATAAAGAAACATGTATTTGTGAATAACAAGTAACATACTAATAGGTTTGTAGAATAATAGACGTATTGTTGTTGTTAGATTCAA